ACAGCTGCTCCTCTGGCCCCGGTGGGGGCAGGAGCCCCTGCCCTGCCCCGTGTGCCCCTCCCCAGGGCTGGGTGGGCATACCTTGGAGGTGATGACCTCCCTGGTGCGGGCGCGCAGCTTGTTGACCTGCGTCTCGGCGATGTCGGCACGCTCCTCCGCGTCGTCCAGCTCATGCTGCACCTTGCGGTACTTCACCAAGTTGGAGTTGGCCTGCTGCTCCTGGGTGGGGTGAGGGCAGAGGTGGGTGCGTGGGGCACAGCTGGGCACAGCGAGCTTCCCCATGCCATGCTGGTGGCCCCTTTCCATGTAGCCATACCGGGAAGGCCAGCACTGGCTTCCACCCCAGGAGGAGAGCTGCAGTGGGGCCAGGCACTTACCGCCTCCTCAAACTGGCGCTTGTAGCTCTTGACCTTGCTCTGCAGCTTGTCGATCAGGTCCTGCATCCGTGCCAGGTTCTTCCGGTCTTCTTCAGCCTGCAAGTGCCCATTAGCAGGCCCCCAGCAGAACCCCCCACTCCAGCTCCAGCTGCCCCAACACCTTTATCCATGAGTGCCAGTGGTGCCACAGCCCTTCACACACCAATGGCACCAACCTGCCCCACCAGCCCCATGTCCCCTGGTTCCCCAGCACCGAGCTTAGGAGGTGCCAGTGCAAAGGGGCAAGACAGAGACGCAGAGCAGGTGGTGGATGTTGAGACAGGGACAAGGCTGTCCTGCCCTTGTCAGTCCCAGCACAAACCAGGGCTGTGCCGGAGTTGAGTGTTGGGTAACACAAGGGACTGAGCTCGGGGGAGTTGGACCAAGTCTCACTGGGCTGGAGCTCTGCCCAGTGCCGCCGTACCTCCTTGATCCTCCGCTCGTACTTGCGAATGCCCTTCTGGGCTTCAGCCATCTTCTTCTGCTCTGCATCCAGCTCTCCCTCCAGCTCCCGCACCTGTGGGTGGACAGCGGCCACCTCAGCACTCCGCACCCCAGCTGAGGTCGGATCACTTTCCCCAGATCAGAGTGGCCACAGCCAAGGCTAAGCCATCCCAAGCAAAGACGTGGAGCCAGCCCCAGGCTTGCAGGTCCTCAGAGGCTGTCCCTCACTGCCCACGGTCCCCCTGTGGCAGAGCCTGGCCCCAAAGGGATGAGCAGTGCCAGTGTCCTCAGAGCCTGGTGCCACAGAGGCTGGGGCAGCGCCAGGAGCCAGCTCCTGGGTGGTACAGCCAGGGATCTGCCCCTGCCACCTCACCCTGGCCTCCAGCTTCTGGATCTGCTTCTTGCCCCCCTTGAGAGCAATCTGCTCCGCTTCGTCCAGGCGCATCTGCAGGTCCTTGATGGTCTGCTCCATGTTCTTCTTCATCCGCTCCAGGTGCGCACTTGTGTCCTGCTCCTTCTTCAGCTCCTCTGCCATCATGGCAGCCTGCAAGGCCAAGAGCACAGAGGCATCACCGCAAGGCCAGGCAGCCCTGCCAGACACAGGAGCTCCATGGAGAAGCTCTGAGACCCTCCCCTCTCCTCCCATCCACCAGCCCCACAGG